AGCCTTACATTAATATCTCTGCTTRAAGTTTTCTTTATTTTTGCTCATGAGYGTYYTTCTATGTTTTAAAGAAAGGAAAAKTTKGAGGGTTTTTTACCGAAGGATTTAGCTGGGCACTTGGACTAAAAAGGGCAACTGTATGTCCAAAAATTTTCCTGACTTAATGTCTGAGTTGTTTCTTGTTTCAGTAATAGATTTTGGTACCACTGTTAGAATCACTTTTTCCTTTAAGCCCTGATATATAGATGTGCCCTTCACTACTTAGTGTATCTTTTGCCAACAGGTTTCACTGATGGGCTTCAGTTCAACTTCACTTGATTCAAYGCTTTTGCTTACAATTTGTGGAGTACTTTTATTCCCTGCAGTTTCTCTAATGTACTCTGTAAAATAAATGAGAATCTAGGGTGTGATTAAAGTAGGATTGTAGTCTAGGCTGTGCTTGAAGGGTACAAAAAATTATTGATACTGCATATATGCAGAATATACCAATKAATTCAGTCTGTTCTGTCCTTTGGTCTAAGTCCATCCTCCAGCAGGATAGCCAAAATCYTCCTCTGATTGTGATGCTTAAAAAAAATCCTCTCTGATTGTGATGATCTGTCCTGCAAATTCTCCAGGTGTCTGTGCTCCTTCTGCCCAGGAGTTGAAATTGGCTCCATTTGAATCAATAAGAGTTTTATCACAGACCTTACTAACTCCAGTATTGAGTCCTGCAGTCCCAGGCCTGTGCTAAGTAGTCACATTCAATTTATCTAAAGAAAAGCTGTGAATTGGGAAAATTACAGGCAAAGAAACATCATTTAGTCTGTCATACAATAAAGTATTTTARGTTTGGCACTCTGAAAGGCAAAAAGTGCTAACGTGTGTTATTGATGCCATGGCTGAGAATTTTCTCATCTGGCCTACAGAGAAGCAAAATGACTTTTCAATGTTTTAAATGAGGGCAAAGGGAAAAACATTTTAAGGTGAAATTGTGAAAAGTTTCTAATGTAGACTCCTAAATTTGTGTTCATTCCCATTACCAAGGGTTATATTCCTCTCTCTCAGAAAACATTTTAATTACAGATATTGAAGACCTTAGTTTTAACTGTCATCTAAAATTAGAATCCAACTCAACATTCCCTAAAACCTTTTAGACTCAAGATTAATTAATGAACCAAACCAGAAAATGTTAATTTAGTAAGACTTTAGGATCTCCTGTTGCTTGGCTAAAGTTTGTTTGAAACATTTTCCAAAAATAGGGAACTAATCCATGCATTGTCAGCTTATGAAAAGTGACAAGATCAGAGCATAAACTGTCATTGGACTGGCATGTCAGTTTTTCTCTAACTAGCCATCAAAACAAGCAATTGAACTATGCAACAATTTGTGCTGCTCAAGCCAAAGATTCCCAAGGAGAAGCAGCTCAACATGCACAACATTTGACTGATTTGACGCTTGAATTCTTCAGAAAATCCTAAGGACCCTTTACAACTGTGCATGTAATGACCCACAGCATCCACACATCTGCCCAAGCTGTATCTGCTGTGTGCTTTAAATGCCATCTCATTTTCTGGCTAAATAAAAATATTGACACCTTGAATTTACAGTAATTTACTGATTCTGTCTTTGCCATCTGATGGCAGTACCAAAAATGAGGAATGGCTTTGTGCTCTGATGGCATATCTCAGAATTCTTATCTGTCCAGGAGGTTATTGGATGTTGATTGTAAAACGTTGACTGCTGTCCCATATTTCTCTGGTAATATGATCTGTAAGAGGAGCTGGTTACTCAGATTTTGAAACACTCTGTATATGAACAGCAGGACATTTTTATTGAGCTGCTCCCTACACAGCTCCCTAACGATTCCTCGGTCAGATCTCTGATTGAAAATACAGGTAGCTAACAAAGGGATAAAATTACCCTGGCACAATCCTACTGTGTGTTTTTAATATGAAGTGCTAACACATCGCCCAGTGTTCCCACAGAATTACACCACTTCTYGAGAAGGCCTGGCCAATACCTGATTGATTCTGGTCTGTGGGGATCGGCCCAGTTCAGTATAATTTCCTGTCTTGTTGCTTTCTTGTCTATTAGAGAGGGTTTGGGTCTGTGGAAATCAATAGGCTTATACATGCAAARTGTGAGGTTATTCCCCAGCAAGTTTCATTTGCATCCTTAATTTATGGAAAATGCTGTTTTCTCGTCCGCGCTTGTTTTTTTAAAAAACTCTACTTAAACAAATACCTGTTTAAACATATCCCCTGAAGTATTCATAAAGGAGAAGATGAAAATTACTATGAGGATTCTGGAAATGTTTAACACATGCAAAGCCAGGGTCTGCTGCTTAGGACTCTGTTAATAGCACTGGAGTGCTACATAAATGGAATCCTCTTCATCTCAGCAGAATCATTGAAGTTATGATTTATCCTAAAATGGACACTAATGTTCTATTTAATCATAACAGTTATTTAAGCATCTAACTATCTATTTCCTTTCACCCTTTCGTGAACTTTGGAAGGATGGTAATTAACGGTGTAGAATAGTATAACTTTTTAAGGAATATGCTTTTAATGTTTCCCTCACTTTTACAGAAATTGAAGCAAACTGAAGAAACAAAAGAAGATTCCCAGAATAGAGTATCTAAAATTTCCCTGGAGTCTCTCAATAAATTTAACAGCAATAACRTACTTTTATTAGAAAAGGAGAAGAACTGTCTGAACAAGGTTGAAGGACAAAAGGAAGAAAATGGAAAGAAAGAAGCAGCTTCCTTGAACAGCTCGGGTCGGCAGGATGTGGACAATTTGGAATCCTTGAGCGATTCCCTGTAYGACAGCTTCTCCTCTTGTGCCAGCCAAGGCTCCAATGATGTTTAGGGACACTTCCCAGCGGGCTGTGGCACAGGATGGAGCTGAAGGCAAAGAGACTGTGTTTGAAAATCCACCCTTGGGCTCRCTGTGCTCACACCAGGGTGTTCTGACCTCCCACCACACAGCAATAAGGCTCGGCAGCGTCACGGTGGTGCGTGGGACTCAACACACCCAAGACAACAAACACACAGAAAAAAAGTCTTAATTTTGCACTTTTGTGAATATTTGTACAGTTGTAAATACCTCGGGAAAATATATTTGTAGGGATACACGACAGCAATAAATATTAAATTGGTGCTATGCTCCTGTAATGGCAGATTACTAACTTAAAAAMTTTGTGTTAATATTAACAAGAAAAGCTAGTAGATTTTTTTAAAAAGAGTTATAATTGTTCTAGTCTTAAAACTGTCTGTAGAAACACTGCATTRCCACAAACCTGAGCCTGCCAGTTTGTCTCTAATAAACTTTCATGGACTTCCTTTTAGAAAACATATTTTATTTTTTACTTTTAGTGCAATTCCATACAGGTATTCTAGGGAAACACRCATTTCACTTATTACAACTTCACAACAGGTGTCTTATTTCAGAAGGGTTTTGACTTTTGACATGGCAAGAAAATGAATAGATTAAAAGGCCTGATACTGCTGGCATTGGCTTCATCAATCATGCACATAACTGTTTGARAGATCAGGGTCAAAGCAATTCACTGCTGACACAAACAGGAGTCTTGTAGGAATCAGTACCACATAAGCCACCCTGTACTTCTGACTGCAAAATGGCTTTTCAACTTCAACCTCCTCTGTACTCATTTCCCATCAAATTATGAATGTATCACACTGTGTTATCATTTCTAGTCTCTGTTTGGTCTAAAGTAAATTCTAAACACTAACATTATTTTTTAAAAAACAAAACAACTCCTGTTTGTGACACACTACAGTAAGATGTTGGTGCTAACCCATACTAGTTCAAACATATCTCAGAGCAGGGGGATTGGCCTGTATTGGGTGTTTTTGTTTTTTTCTACAAAGGTTGTTTATATGTAAGGGAAAGTCTATTTCAAAGGTTCTGTGTATTTTTTCTAGATGTGAAGTATTTATAACTGCTTTTTGTACAGCAATTGTAAACTAGATATATTTGGGGTATTTCTAGACTCTACAGTTTCTTTAGCACATGCTTGTTATCTTTGAAATATTGTATGATCAGTGTTAATATTTTGTGCAATTTGTTATATTTTAAGTMATTTCTGCCGTAAACTTGCATTGTCTTTTTCAACTTTTAAGAAATTTTCATTGAAACACCTTTCGTAAATAAAACTTCTCTTGCCTACCTGTGCCTGTGGAGGGTTTTTGGGAAGGGGATGCTGTGACAGCTTGGGTGTGTGGGGTTGGGATCTTGGGTACCCACCGAGCCTGCCCCGCCCCGACACAGCGCACAGACAGGCAGCGTTCGGGGAATTCGTGCCGCTGGGATTGTCAACAGCGATTTAAGCTTAATTAACTCTTCCTTGTAGTAGAGCCGTGAAACGATCGCTGGGAAATAACGTGGTTATCGGGGGAGGAGAAGAGCCGCTCCCTGGGGCTGGGTTACACAGCGGTCCGAGCACGGACAAGGTGGGCGCAGCACCGGGGCTGCCCCTGCCCTTCCCTCGCCACGGGCGGGCACTGCCCAACCCCCGACGGCTCCTCGCTGTCCCATTCTGCCCCATCCCAACCTACCCCAGCTCCTGCCGCCCCATTCCACCCGTCTCATCCCGCTTCCCCAGCCCCGGAGCCGCCCGCCCATCCCGCCGTGTCCGCGGAGGAGGCAGGCTCTGACCGCCGCTCCAGCACGTACGCGGCCACCGCGCCCTTTCCCCTCCGCTTTACTCCGCTTGAATTCCCTTTTAGACGGCTGGGAGGAGGGAATGGCGGGGCCGCGCCTCCCCTCAGTCGCTCCCGGGGCCGCGGGCGCTGCGGGGCGTCTGTGGAAGGCGAGCGACGCCTCGCAGCGGGGCCCGGCCTGCCAGTCCCCACAGACGCGCTCCGGCTGCCACCTGTGGGCTTCGGGCGGGCGGGGACACGAGAGGGAGCGGCGAGACGGGATCTGTGCCCGAGCCCCGCAGCCCGAGCGGAGGAGGAGGAGGGCGGGGATGTGACAGAGCCGCCCCGGCGGGCAGAGGGTCGCGGGTCGGAGCCGCTCCGGCGGTGCGGGGGCTCCCCTCCCTCGCTGAACTTCGCCCGTCCCCGGGAGGTGCGGGGCGGCTGGCGGGGATCCCCGCCCCGCTCCGCCGGCATCACATGGTGCTGGGGGAGGGAGGGGGGAGCCGCCCCCCAGCTCTCGCTTCTCCTACAGTTTCTTCCAGTCTCAGCGCTCAACTCCGGCGAGGCTGGAGCGCGGCGCGGAGCTGGGCAGGGCGGGCTCCGCCGCCTGCTCCCGGGGCGCCGCTCCGCAGCGGAGGCGGCGGGGAAGCGGCACAAGTGCGCGGCKCCTCCGCTCCATCTCTGCTTCTGATGCCCCTTCGCGACTGCACGCCAGCCCGGCGGCCGCGGCTCCGGGAGGATGCGGCTCTTCCTCCTCGCTGCAACTTTCTGGGGATTGTGCCTGGCGCCAGGTAAGGGGCTCCGCGCCGCTCCCCGGCCATCGCAGCGCTGGGAGACTCCGTCCCCTCGTAGCCGCTCGACGGAGCTGCCACCGGGCGCTTAAAAGGAACGGGGCAGCGGAGAGCCCGTCCTGACCGCGACCCACAGAGCACCCCGCCGTGGTTGCGGTGTCCCCAGCGCTGGGGCGAGGCGAGGCGCAGCCCCGGTGCCGTGTCCGCGGGTCGGTGACAGCGGGGCGCTCCCGGCGGAGGGCGGGCACGGGCCGGGGGTCCCCGGGAGCCGCCGGCGGAGCGCTGCTGGCGAACCACGAGCGCCTCGTTTGCATGATAAAGGAGGCTGGCGAGGGATGCTCCGCCGCTTTAATTGKGCATGGCAAAATAGTAATTAAATCATTTGTAATTAATTAGCAGCTAAGTAAACCCGTCGGCACAGATAAGAGCCGKAGCGWATCTRCGAGCCGGGTTGCTCTCTGCGGGGYGCGGGCAGGCTGCAGCCGCGGGGCGGGCGATGGGCAGCGGCTGCGGGGCTGTGCCGGTGTCGGTGTCGGTGCTGGTGCCGGTACCGGTGCCCGTCGCCTCCTGGCGGCGGCGTCTCCAGCGCTGGAGCGGCCGCCCCGCGGAAAGGAGCATCAGCAGAGCCCGCCACGCTTGGTCTCAGCTTGTTTTACTTTATATTTGTCAAAGGGATGCTTTGGCTGAGCTCTTGAGTAGCTAGGAACAGCAGAATGCGAAGAGGGAAAGATAAGGAAGATTTCTGGCACGTGCTGGTTGTTTGGTTTTCTTCGGTGTTTGGTTTTTGTTTGGTTTGGATTTTTTTAATACTGTTGCCATTATTTAATGCCAGGTTAGATGGGGTGTTGAGCAATCCATTCTAGTAGACGGTCTCTGCCCATGGCAGGGGCTTGGAATGAGATGATCTATGCATTCTGTGATTTTGAGCAAATCTCTGTCTGTTCCAGGTTTGGGTTTGCAAATACAGTGTTACCAGTGCGAGGAGTTCCAGCTAAATAATGACTGCTCTTCTCCAGAGTTCATCGTGAATTGCACAGTGAACGTTCAAGACATGTGTCAGAAAGAAGTAATGGAAAAAAGTTTTGGTAAGCATTTAATAATTATTTTTCTGTTTATTTAGTTTAAGTAGCATTTGCTGCTTTTGGCTCCACCCATTCCTGGTGTTCAGATGCAAAAGAATCTAGTGTCTCTACCTAAAGCGACCAGATTCAAAGTCTTATTCTTCTGAGTGGCTTTGCAACTTGAAGAAGTTAATTTTTCTCTAAAAAGTGGTGTAAAAACAGAAGGATGCAAGTCAAATGCTGATAAAGCTGGTTAATGCACAGCCTTATGGGTCTCTGATATAGTTTTCCAGCACTGGGAAATTAATAACAACAAGTTAGTTTAATCTCATTACAGTTAATTACATGGGCTTTTYCCCCAAGAGATAGAGGAGCATTAAATTAGTAATTCCCTCCTTTCTTTTATTTACTCAAGCAATTTATATACTCTGAAGGTTCATCTTAAGGGAAGTGGAATGATCTTGGCTTTCATTCATTGAAGAAACCATCAGACAAAAGGGAGAAGGGGATTAAAAAAAAAAAGTGGGGGAAATTTAGGAGGGAAGAGAAGGGCAGAAATGGATTTATTTGYCACACCAATTTTCTAAGATTTTTTTTCCCCTTACTGCAGTTAATATATTAGGACAGCAACGTGTCCAAGAGGAAATCAGGTGTGATTCTGCAACTTGCCTCTATTGTCTTTTGAGCTGGTTTATTAATGGCTGGGTTTTATTCAGCATCATGGAAGGTGTTTGAGATTCAGAGAGAACTGGCAGGTCTCAGACTACTGTGTTGCTCTGTAGCTTTCTACATGAGAAGACAAGAACTTTCTTACGGACTCCGGGGCTGTGTGGGATGGCAGGAAGGGTGTTAGTGAGAGCTGGAGCTCCTGGAGCCTCCTGCTCCAGCTGCAGGCAGCTGTGAGGGTGTGGGGAATGGTATGGACAAGGAGCTCACGGGTGAGTCCCAGCCTGGACGTGCCCCCTGTGCCAAGCCTGGGGAGCACAGGGCAGCCTGGGGCTTCAGAACCCTGATTTGGGGGGAAGCTGCTCCCTGGGACTGCCCATCTTGCAGCTCTGGAGCGTGGAGCTCTGTGCTGTCAGGGGCTGTTCTTCTAACCCTGATTTAGGGGGAAGCTGCTCCCTGGGACTGCCCACCTTGCAGCTCTGGAGTGTGGAGCTCTGTGCTGTCAGGGGCTGTTTCCCTGTTAGTGTAGATCAAGCCACGGTCTTTCCTTTCCCAGAAAGTCCTGCTGGAGCACCAGGATGCCTCTGTACCCAGCAAATGTGTGCAGTCATCCATCCTGAGCAGCAGCACTGGCTCTTGGGTTTAGCAAACTCTTCCAAGTGCCTGTCAGTCRGCTGGCTCCACGTGTGCTGGTAATCAGTCCTGGGTAAATAATAACAATTGTTGTTACGCATCAAAAGTAGCTGAACTGCTGACATTATTTCATCCTGGCTAACACCATCCACTGGGACTGCTGTGAAATACTTAGAACCTCTCCAGTGCAGAAAGGGGAAAAAAAGCTGTATGTTTAAAGGAAGATTAATCTCCCTTAAGTTATTTTATTTCTTACTGGAGTATTTCATTTCAAGTTTACGCAAAAAGGATGGTGGAGATGCAAGATAGTTACGGCTTGCAAGGTACTTTTAAAATCTGAGAATCTCTAAATGAGTGCTTGAAGGCTTTGCTATCTGCACACTACAGCTTCTGTAGTACTTTCAATAGGTTAGAAAGGATGTGATGGTTTGGAGGGCTCCACAGGCAGCAGCAAACATAGACGAAAAAGTCAGATTTGAAATCTTTTCTTTGATTCATAACTTGGCATTACTCCTATGAAGAAATGATTCGCAATATAAGTAAATAAGGAGCTCTTAAACTTATTGGTGGTGTTTTTTTCTGTGCAGTTTTGTTTTCTCTGAGCAGATCCTTAGATTTTTTTCCTTTAGGRGGTAACTAGCATGCTGTGCATAGCAGGTGCCACTGTTCTGTTTCATTTATTTCTATAAATGTAATTCTTATTAATTTTAAGCTTAGAGACTGTAAATTTCAGCTGGTTAATAAATTAGAATTTTTAACCTATTTCAAATTGAATGAAATTTACATTGCCAGCTTAGTTTCTCTGTTACTCTCAGTCAATTTTAGAGAGGGTTGGTTGTAAAACAGAGATGATTCAGTTCATCATCCTTTATTGGTTTTTTCTTAATTGATATTTAAATGTGTGCAATATAAATGCCTTACTCTCMCAAGTTTTATTTAATAATTCATTCTACTTCTACAAGTATATTTCATAACCTGTATCTTTTAGTTGTTGCTTATTACTGAAAACTGAAATGTTTCAAGTATTGATTTTAATTTATAATAGACTCGAGTTTGAGCTTCTAACCCAGAATATGAAAGATGTGAATTTGCATTTATTTGACAGCACAACCTCATAATTAAAGTTTTTTCCCCTTGACTAAATACAGTCAAAGGAGTTCAATTTTTGTAGATTAACCCATTTTTGTCATTAATAAAACATAGCTGTGTCAGTGAATGAAGTGCTGCAAGTTCTCTCAAACCTTATTTAAAAGCTAAACATAGCATTTTGAGATGAAGTTGGTGGTGTGAGTGGGTACCACCCTATTGATGGAGCTGCTCTCCCTCTGCAGGATGCATTAATTTGGTGTTTTGCAATCCAGGGGCCCACTGGCTCACATTCTGGGGTGTGCCTGCAGTACAGCCCCCAGCATGTGGCTGGTGACTCTTTTCCACGTGTTTTTGTTGGTGTTCAGAGTTGTACCATGGCAGTTCTGTGGCTCAGCTTTGTTTCTGGATTAAACTCGCTGTAGTAGAAGCAACACGGTGGCAAATTACAACTCCCATTATTCTTCCCATTTGTAAAAAGTTCCTTGAGCCTGATCACAGTTAAACAAAACACTCCTCCACAGTTCCTCTAAAATTAGTGCTTCAGATGTCCCTGGGCTCTCTCAGAACATTATCTCAGCTCCAGGTGAGAAATAACAGCAGCACAGGCACGTTCCTAACCCAGAGCTCAAAACGTGGCTGTTCCTATGGCAGCCTCTGATGTGAGCAGCTAAGAAAGCAGGTGTTAGTAACTTTTGTTTTGARTTAGATCATCAGGCATCTGATCTCAGCTGCTTGTTGTATCAGGTAGAAATTTGTTCCTTTGGACAGCCTAAAGTGAATTTAGAACTGAGAAGTAAATGGCAAAGTATTTTTCTCACTTCAAGCTCAGTTGTATTTAAAAATTTTGCTAGAAAAGGTTTTATGTTTGTGAGCATTCTGTTCCAAGTGGGACATACAGGACAAGACAGTATTTTTCCTGTGATAAAGAATCTCACAAACTAATTTGTTCAATAAATGTTGTTAATTAAATCTTAAAAAAAACTAAAAAGCCTTCCTTTAGAGGGAGGAGTGATGAGAATGGAAAGTGGCACTCAAGACACTACCAAGAAAATTTTTATCCCACAGAAATTAATGTAAAGGATAAGTTTCTAGTGYATTCTTCAGCTGGATAAGCAGGTGTTTGAAAACTGTAAATTGAATGTTTGACAAAGGATCAGAGTTCTTACAATAATTCTACTTGCAGATACCTTGTGGAAATACCCATGGCRGATTCCCTGCTCCCACTTGCCTCTCTTTCCAGTCTATGGACTTTTAAATTAGAAATGTCAGTGCTCCTTCATTTTTGAATATATATGGGAACAAAGAAATCCCACAGTATCCTGGGATCAAATGAAACACCTTTGTTGATACATGGATGGGTATATAATGTGTGTTTGTTTTGTACATATTATATATCATAGAAAACATACTGGTATAATGATAGTTTTGCCTTTTACTGAAGGGAAGAGCTATGTGAGCATAAAGGCTGATCTAAAACCTACTTAAGGCAGYATGAAACTCGCAATGTGAATACCACAGAGAGGAGTAAAGCAGGAAGGATGAGACAGTCAGCCCAGGGAGGTAGCCAGTCTGAATTTCTTGGAGCTGTCTGTGAGTAAACCTGCCCACGTGCATGTTTTGAACAATACCCCGTCTGTTCTAACTTTTGCAAAGAAAAAAAAATTGTCACAGTAGCAATGCCAATACTTTAAAATACCAAGAGTTTTCCTTTGCAAGCAAATTGGGAAACTATCCAATTATTCTGTTAGTCTTAAACAAGAAACTTTGCTTATTTGTTTGGTTTACCATGTCCCTTGTAATGTATTTACATAGTATACAACTCTGCAGTGTAGTTAAAGCAATTGCTGATTGTGTGCCTAGAAGCAGTGCATGGGAGCACCATGAGCAGCAGCACCATCTCAGTGTTGAATTAGAACTTCATCTATGTCTTTGAACTCTTTCCAGAATTGGTTTTCCAGTCATTTGTTTCATCAGTGGTTCTGTTGTGTGATGAGTTGGGCTGTGGTGAATTCTCCACCTCTGATTGTTACTTGGTTTTGTCATGATTGAGCTGCTCCATGTGTGGCTGTCAAGGATTACAGAAGCATCTTCTTTTTCCTGTGTTCATGTGTAGAGCCCATTAGTACTAATATTAATTGCATGCTTGTATCCAAGGGAAATTATGCTCTGGTGTATTTTTATTGACAAGGTGATTAAAACAGCAAACAAAGTTTAATGTTGCCAGAATCACTACAGGTATTAAAATTTTATAGGAAGTTTCTGTATCCTTAGTATCCATTTAGAAACAACAAAACACATCCACTGAGTTGGTGGATTTTTATTTTTTCCTATACTTTTTTGGTCAAAGCATATCAACATAACAGAATTTGTTTGGGCTTGTTTGTTTGTTTGTTTTTATCAAAGCAAAGCATGACAACATAAATCTTTATYGACAATATTAAAAAATTAATAAAAATTCTGCATGGGACAGTTGGTACCTATAACATCTACCAGGTGCCCAACAAAATGAAGACATTATATCAATATTGGGAACACTGTTCTCTTTTAATGTTGATTAAAGAGCTTACAATGGATGTTGATAATTTGGAGCTGAAAACTTGGAGCTGTGGATATATTACCATTCAGAAACACTTTCT